CCCCCACCGCCCCGCCCTGCCCCTCCCCGCCCCTGAGGCAGCACATTGTTTTATGCTGAACCATACAGGCCCTTCATGTACCCAGAGAGCACTCGCCACATTCCTGCAGCTGCAGACGACCCGAGTGCCAAGAGGACATGCACAGCTCTGATGATGTTGCAGCCACAGCGGCCAATCAATTTTTAAGTGCATTTTCCTCATAATAAGAATAAAAAAAAGGAATGCTATCTAAGTGATGGCATGTTCCATTTGCAGATGCCGGGATCGCAGTTCAGTTATGTGGGCCCACTGGCATCGCGAAAAGATGAAAACCATCGTATTCATGAGCGAATGGTGTCTGGAAGACACAAGGAAACAGATCAGGCCGATTTAAACGTGAGCCCTTCCTGACCACTCTACGAGATAGCTGTTCCCTGTTATTTCAGCTCGCTGGGGAGGGGGGCAGTTTCCTGTCGCTTTCAATTATTTTAGCTCCAGAAATGGCAGGAAGCAAACCCCTCCCTTTCCCACCACTGCAGGGCCACCATCAAGCAGTGACGCCCCAAACCTGCAGTCTCAGGTTACGCGTCAGACATATGCTAGCACACCAACGGTTATTTTTTGGGCGTGGGGGGAACATCGTCTCATCTGATGGAGAACCAGAGAGGAAAAAAACACCCCACAATCCGAAACACTGCACTGGGGAGGGTGCAGGATGTGTAGTCAAATCTCACAGGAGATATGAATATAAACGTGTGTGTGTGTGTGTGTGTGTGTGTGTGTGTGTGTGTGTGTGTGCATGAGCCGCGCTGTCTCTTGAATCTCTCTCAGACATACACAGCAGATTAGCGATGCTTGACCTAATGGTTCTCAAGCTCCAATTAGTGACTGAGAGAAACTACTTCAGAACCACCAGAACCAAACAAGGCATCAAGGATGTGTCAGTAAGCCCCAGGATAAGGAACTGAGCGCCACGCCCACACATCCCTCCTGCCCTCACTCACACCAGCACCCGCTGGAGCTGCTGATGTCTGTGTCACAGGAACCCAGGCCAACTTCCCCCTCCCCCCCCCAAAGCTCGACACCCCAGGCCATCTTGTCCTCTCCCCGGCTCGACACGCCTGGCCCATGGAGAAAATGCAGTCGGGCTCTCGTTCAGCCAGTTTGCTGACATTCTGTTCATTCCAGGTGCCGCATCGGAAATGACGTCCTACAGGAGGGACGGGACCTCATTCTGGAAACTCCGCGGTTAGTGCCCCCCTACCGGTGTGAGCCAAAAGTTCAACCCCAACCGCTCTTTAGAACCCCCCATTATGGCCGGTCTTGAATTAGCTTCACTGTAACCCCTCACAGTGTAACTGTAAAAGACGACGGGCAGGTTCATGGTTCTCTGGCCAGGTACATATTCTGCAGGATCACATGACTGTCACATGACTAATCACCACTGACGTAAGGGCTGTAAGAGAGAAATGTGACACAGGCTCCCACGTTACACAGACAGTCACGATGACAGCCTCAGCTGAACAGCACTGGGGAATCACAGTCCAGAGGGAAGAGCGCCCCCCTCTGGTCCACCCCGCAAAACCGCTTAGTGTGTATGAGATGGTAAGTAGACTTCAGGCCCTCAGGGCCTTACACAACAAAGGGCCATTTCGACTGACAGAGAGCATGGACACGAAATTAAACGCTGCCCCCCAGCTCTGGAAAACCCATTGTCAGCAGGCCATTCACAGAGGGGGCTGGGGCACGCTCCAGGGCGGCCTCCAATGAGGGCTGCTAAATGGGATCAGACTGATGGGACAACGGGGCCCCTTTTCCACAGACAGATGCCAGCAGAAGGGAGTGGCCACAGGTCAAATCAATGGGACACCCAAAGAACAGGGGACCAGGGAGCGATCACAGAGAAAGCAGGAAGGATACGGAGAACAGAGAGAGACCATAGAGAGAACACAGAGAACAGTGGAAGACCACAGAGAGAATACAGACAACATGGAGAGATCATAGAGATAATACAGAGAAAACAGAGACAACAGAGATAAAACAGAGAACAGGGGAAGACCACAGAGAGAGCAGGAAGGATACAGAGAACAGAAAGAGACCATGGAGAGAATACAGAGAAAACAGAGAGAACACAGAAAATACAGAGAACAGAGGAAGACCACAGAGAGAATAAGGAGAACAGAGGAAGACCACAGAGAGAACACAGAGAACAGAGGAAGACCACAGAGATAACACAGAGAACAGAGGAAGACCACAGAGAGAACACAGAGAACAGAGGAATACCACAGGGAGAATACAGAGAAGAGAGACAGCAAAGAACAGAGAGAAACTCAAAAAGATCACAAAGAGAGAGCAAAGACCACAGAGAGTACAAGAAGAATACAAAGAACAGAGAGAGATTATGGGCTGATTTGGTTCCTGCCAATGTTGTAAGCTATGCCATTGACAGAGAGACAGCAAAGACCACAAAGAAAACACAGAGAATACAGAGAACAAGGAAGATCACAACGTACAGGGAATGGAGAGAAACTACAGACTACAACAGACTACAAAAATGAGAGCAAAGACCACAGATAGACCATAGAGAGAATACAGAGGTAATAGAGAGACCACAGATGGACCGCAGGGAGAGACCATATATATGCCACAGAGAAAATACTGAGGTAATAAAAAGATTACAGACAGACCACGGAAAGTGAGCAGAGAAACCAGCAGGTCTCCATGCCTTGGTCTGTACCACACACACAGACCCTCACTAGAGCTGGTAAAATCAAAGTTAATTCAACAAGCTGGGTGCATATTACAGTTTAGGGTGACCTTTCTGCTGAATGATGGATTTAATCACCCCAGATTAATATCAGGGGATTCTAAATTTTTGTGGGGTGACGTATGGGCAGGAATAAGGGAGAAGAAGCAGCTCGCCAACCCCAGCGTGACGTTAATTATGCAGAAATAACACTGGGAATAACTGGTAACAACTGCATACTGTTCATGTCAAACACAGAACGCTCTGGAGTCCGGCTCATCAGAATACACTGGAAAACAAATTGGGTCCCAAGCAGCACCCGGCAATGTCAGCCTTTCTGAGAATGCGAGAGCTATCAGAGGTGTCCTCTTGCAGGTATTTGGGGTGGGGGGGGGGTTCGTGTTTAAAAACCAACCTTGGCCATCTGAGCCTGTACTCCACTGGCCTTGAGCGCAGTGACGGCCTTCTGTGCTGCAGCCGGACTGTCGAAATCCACAAAGCCATAACCTGTGGGAAGAGGGTGGGACTTACAACGATGCTGCAGGGGGGTGGGGGGGCAGACATGCTGGACCATCACACACGCACACAGGTTACAGCATCGTGTGCGTTTCAGTCAGTAGGTACCCATCATCCTGCTACATACATGTAACACCCAGCCTGAAACCCCCCCCTCGTCCAATTATTAAAAAAAAAAAAAAGATAAACAGTCATCATGACCCATGCAATGAAACTCAAGTCTCACCTTTACACTTGTTGGTGGTCTTATCTAGGATGGCTTTTGTCGACACTATTTTTCCATACCTGGAGGGCAAGCAGAATGGGGGGGGGGGGGAGAGGTGGGGAAAGACACAAAAATTGAGCTCTGGTGATACATGAGAAACATGTAAACTTCTCAGGACTTTCAGGATTCCAAGAAAGACCACAGAGCTTCTGCTTCTGCTCTTTAATCACAGCTGGAACCAGACGAAGGAGGCCTATCATCATGGCGGATGCGGCCCTGCCGCCTCATCGCTGCTCTGTCATACTTGTCTCTGGTGTCAATCGCCTTTGCCCTAAACCCTCTGCTAATCCACTGGCCCCGCCCCCCTTAAAGACGTCTGCGGGCACCCCAGCATCACATTCCCCTGTGAAACTCAGATGGGTCGATGTGGTGCTATGAGGCAGCACAAGTCAGAACCCTGATGGTTCACGGGGACCCGTAACTGGACCTCCCTGCCATACTGACACCCTCCGAAATGCATCCTCCAGGTCTGATCCACCCCCACATCCTCACAGTTGGGCTCCATGATCTCCTGTTAAGAACAGGGCCATGAGGTCAGCTGGGCAGCCTTTTGCTGCACCTCCATACCCACAATCCTTTGCTGGCTTGATTTATTTTCAGCATTTTCACCAAGTTTGCTTCTGTGGCTGCATCAAAAACATAGGGAGGAACTGGACCCCTACCCCAAAAGAGGCCCAGTGTCGGACAAGGAGAGAGTTTAGTCGCCTCCAGCAATCAGAGAATCAACTCGCTTTATCGTATGTCTGTGCACTACAACAGCTTTACAGCGCGGAGTAGTTTACAAGAAAACATGGAGGTCAATCGTGCAGCATCTTCACATCACTACCATTTATCTTCTGTGCTTCAAAAATTTGCAACTTTCACACAGAAATACACATAAACAAAGTATCGTGGTGCAAATGCAGGTCGAGGATCAAGTGAGAGGCCAGTGTACTGTTTCAGATCACAAATGAAATGTACAAGCAAGAATTTCTTCTCCAACGTTACATAAAACGTTGACTAAATATTCACAAAGTGTTTGAGAGAAAAGCAGAATTTCGTGACACACAATCCCCAAAGGATACACACTTATTCATAAACATACATCAATAGATAAAAATGCATGAATAATTATGCATAATTATACAGCATTTAACTATCGGACAATGTCTCTTGTACCAGTAAGAGTTTGCTGAAGATCATTCAATGCAGATTAGTGCCCTACACAGACTGCCAGGCACAGGAACTGACTGCCAGGCACAGGAACTGACTGCCAGGCACAGGAACTGACTGCCAGGCACACAAGCTGGATTCAGGGATGGGCAAGAAACAAGTAATTGCTGATGGGAGCTGAATAATTGAAATGACTGAAATGTCATGTTGACCATGTCAAACTATGGAATGTCCTCAAGAAAATGGTTGTAGCAGGGCATCTCAATGGCCTTATGAAGAGTCCCGAGATTGGAAAAGAAGCCACAATCATGGTAAATATGGAGAAACTATCTGGTTCTAGATTGGTAAAGGAGAGAGATGAGGGTACAAAATATCAACATGCCTGTTCATCTTCTACATAGGAATACAATGAAAGAAGGGGACTGGATGAAGAATAATATGGCCTGAAAAATGATGACAGAACCATGAACAGCATCAATATTCGGACGATACCAGAAAATGAAGATCTGAAGACACAAGCAAAATTAAATATCCGAGTGCAAAAATGGGACTGTAGCTAAATGTAATGAAACCAAAAGGTTATGACCACTGGAACAACAATTAACTTAGGGCTGAGGGTAACGCAGAATGCATATTGACATTTTTCCCTTTTTGGAACAATTGACATTTTACATGTTTAGCAGATGCTTTTGTCCAAAGAGACATCGAAGAGAGGCAAACGGCACATTACAAATAGACATGCTGTCAAGGAGATGACTAGACATAACTGCAGCTAGGCTGAGCGCCCAATGAATGCCCAGGTACAAGTGTAAGCAGTATTGGAGCAGGAACAACTTCTAACAAAGCAAGAACACAAAAAGACTATTCAATGACCAGAAGTGCAACACAACAACATTCAGAAAACAAAGAGGCATCAGGCTAGCAGAGGAATTCATGGAACAGATGGGTCTTGAGGCGTTTCTTGAAGGTAGTGAGGGGGTCTGATGACTGGATGTGGTTCAGCAGCTCATTTCACCATCAGGGAACCGCATAAGAGAACCGTCTGGGGTGAATCAACAAGAAAGGATCCAGCAATCGATAAATACATTGCAGACTGACACTGAGCAGAAATGCCAAAAAACCAAGAAAAATATCTTCAAGAGTACAGGAATATTTCTAAGAACGAAGATCAGGATAGTTCAGAATACATTTCCTATTATTCTTTGGGGATGTGAAAGTAGGACTATGAAGAAAACAGGGCAGGAAGGGTACTGATGTCTTTGAATTTCTGTTCTGTCGTGGACTTAAGAATACCATGGTCTGCAATGACAACAAACAAGTGGATTTTTGATCAAATCAAGCCGGGATTTTCACTTGAAAGCACAAATGACCAGACTGAGGCCGTCCTATTTTGGGCATATCGTAAGAGGGCTCAATGCACTGGAGACAACCACACTGCCTGTAAAAGGGGAAGACAAGCAACAGAAAGAAGAGATATGGACTCAGACACCACAACGAAAACACCATGAAAATAATTTAATTTCAGATCATAGTTCCACTGAGGTAAACTCTGGGATAATTCCAGTTTGAGTCCATTAGCCTTGCCATACACACTTGCAATAAGACAGCAGGAGAGGACTGGCCTCTGTAACCAACAAATGCATAAATAACCCTGAGTTTGCAGGTTTAGGTCTGAAAGTGTAGGTCACGCTGGTGAATCTGCTCCTACATCAGTATTTGGGCATTGGGGCAGCTCCCAGCGGGGTGGAGGGTGACTGGCCTTCACCAGGAACGTAAGCACACCAGCAGGAGCACACAGGCCTTCCCTTCATGGTTGGGCTGCCCTGCAACCTGCTAGTGTATGTGGGGGTTGGAATCCAGAAACTCTCCGACCTTATCCCTCACCTAAAGTGCATGGTGACCAGCGGTTGTACTGGCCCAGTGGGAGGGTTAGGCCTTTAAATCCCTTTCAAATGTGCCCCACATTACGCTCCTCTATTCTGGTCCAGGATACCTGAGCTCTGCTCAGCTGATCCATCCCCTCTTTCCCTATCACTTTCTCCTGAACTTCCTACCTTGCTGATGCAACAAGAATGAGACATTCACGGCCCGAACGGCTTATCCTAAGCAAATGTCACATACAAAAACTCAACATTTTTAGTTCTCATGCATTACATTACTTTATTATTTATGAATAACAAAAAATACAAATGCCTTACAATACATATGTATATTCTCTTACACTGCACACTGTTCAGATAATGTCTATAACTGTTAATTTGGATATATTTTTGCTATATACAGTATATTCACTGCCTTAGTCTTAGCCTTTTCATATTTAACTACCTTCATAACTGTGTATATGACAATTAAAAAAATCATGGGGTGACGACACACTGAGGCAAACCAGCAATACTTTCACTTTACACAAATTAAAGTATTAATGGTGTAGGTGGAGAGGCACGTGAGATTTCATGTTGAGATTGTGAGGGACGTCAGCTTCATGGTGTCTGCGGTGCGTAAATGTCCCTTCAGAGCTCAATCTGGTTTCCCAGCATGCCTCTGTGGCAAGTCACATGACCCTGGGAAGCATTAGAAGTCTGCATCATTGTTCTGATGCCTTGCAGTCGCCGCCCTGCTTTTCCCCTTCGTGCACTTCCTGATTGGCCGCCTGCCCCTCCCCCTACACCTCTCCCTCGCTGTACCTCACTGAGGCACATGGGAACACGCATGCACATTCTCAACACACGCGTGCACCAGAAAGCTCGCTCTACACGCAATCTGCACAGGATGTGTCAGAGATGCCTCCAGGGGTGAGAGGGCAACATGCTCTCTCTCTCTCTCTCTCTCCCTCTTGCTCGCTCTCTGCGGCACTGGGATCCCGTCATGCCGCACACGCATGCGGGAAAGCCAAAAACGGGACCGGTCAGCTCCGGCAAGCGAGAGATGAATTGGAGCCGTCGGGCAAGACATCTGGTGCGATACTGCCTTCGGGGAGGAGGCAGGGAGCAAGAGACGTCGGAAAAAAGTTAATGATTTAGAGAAAAAGAACTGCAAAGGAAAGGGGTAAAGTTAGGGGCAAATGTAAGATAAAGAAAGAGGACATGGATACAGAGCTATTTCTGTAGTCACAGGATATGGCGAAGCCAGAAAGAATTTTATTTGCTTTCTCCCAGTTGTCGCATCCAGAGAGCGGGGGGGTGAATGGGGGTCTGGGACTGGCGGTACAGGCCTAAACGACAGGTCTGAAACCTGAGCCTACGTGGGCAATACCCGGGAACATACCGCCGTCCGTGTTGAACGTGGGAGCAGGGCAACTAAGAAGCCTTTAAATCCTTTTATACCTCCTACACTGCCTGCATATCCACACTGTCATCTACAAACAAGATAAAACTGCATTAAGATACGAGAACGGCTAGTCTGGACTTGTAAGGTCCAAACATTTGAATACATAGAAAAATCTGAAAACGAGTGATTTGTCATAAATGTCTGCCTGCATATATGCACAGAAATCCATGGAGTTCTTTGGTGTTTCATACGTCTGCTCTTTGGGTGACACAGGCAGTGAGACAGGGGATGGTGTTTCTGCTTCTGCAAAAGGGTACGTCATATTTCACCACATTTGCCAAAAAAGGACGGGGGGGGGTCATGTCCGGATACGTAAAACAAGCAGCCCCCCACCCCTTCTGCCCATCTTGGCTTTGGTTTCAGATTTTCTTCCCATCTCCTGTCTATTCCAAGGCTCGACTATATCCTCCGCATGCCACAATTCCGGAAGCTTCCCATGGCACTCACAGAAACATGTGTTCACTTTGACCCGACAGAATGTTCCGGAAGGGAGTGCAACCGCTCACAGGAACTAGACCGGCACAGGAAGGAATACTCACGGCTGGCACAGCTTGACCAGATCCTGGTCTGTGGTACCCGGGTGCAGCCCACGTATGTACAGGTTGGTCTTGCTCAGTTGCTCTCCTCCGCCGATGCTGCTGTTACTGCTGCTGTTGGTGTTGGGACTGGGGGGCGCCATCTGCTGGCCGGAGGACACGTAGGCCTGCTGAAGAGAAGAAAATATGGACTTGGTGTGAAAATAGTCCAGGTTGATTAAGAAATACACATTAGGAATGCAGGATCAAAAGAAGCAGTGGGCGGGGCTATCATACACAGCCGCTCACATGGTGGATGTGGTTTATGCGATTGGTTCGTTTGGGACATCATGTGGTAATCCCGCTTTTCAAAGGCTCATGTCTCACACATATCGCCGCACACAGAACATGTTTACAGATGGCAGCATGATTCCATACAAAAGGTCAGGAGCTACACAAAACACGCGAGATAACGGAGACGGACGGACTGCCAAATAAGCTACAGTATAAAACCACAGCCAGCCGAAACCTGACAGACTCCATCAAAGGACTTTTCATAATGAGGGAAAAGGGGGAAATGTGGATGAATTGAAGCAATGATGTCAACATCGACAACATCTACACTCGCTCCTTGGGGGAAGCGGACACCGGCCAAAGCAAATGCTTCAGTGACAGAGCGAAAGTGAGCTTCACATTATGCAGACACACAGAAACCAAACTTTGAAAATCTAAATGATCGTCAATGACGTTGTGAATCAGGAGCAAAATCCTGAGGTATATAGTACAATTAGACAGACTTACAAAAATGGGGGAAAAAACAAACTAAATAACAAGGATTTTTGAAAGGAGATTTTGACGTTGAGTAAGCCCTCGCGGGATGTGTGAGCGGCGTCTTCTCAGCACGAGATACAGATTCTCACAGAAAGGCCCCGCAAAATGGAGCCAGCTTCACAAACAGGTTCTGCAAGAACTCACGTTTCTAACTTGCGCACGGAGCAACCCCACACTGAGCAGGGCGACTTAGCTCACTAACGAGATGCGGGGGGGGGGGAGTGAAAGGAGGGTTACGGCTAACAAACCAGCGGCATGCTGTGTGAGCCAGCCTGTGTGCAAAGGGCGTGTACTGGTGTGGAGAGTGAGGCGGCATTTTTCATTTCAGCCAAGACGACAGTTATTTCATGTTCAGCCTCACAATAATGCCTTAGGACTGGGGGGGATTTTAAATACAAATAAACAAGGAATACATTTTTGTCTTTCATTTTTTAAGTTATGATAATATTATTTTTACATTTGAGACCATTCTGTCAATTTTGAACGAGTCTGGCTATTCGACTCCGACCAAATAACTGACACTGTCCGGACATTTTCTACTCATCACATGATTCTCTGTCAACTTTAGACACTGCAGTGTGTGAAAATCCCAGGAAGGCGGCTGTTTCTGAGATGTCTGGCACCAGCGATCACACCACATTCAGAACCGCTGAGATCATGCATCTAGGCCGTTCTAATGCTTAGCCAAACAGTAACTTAAACTCTTGAACCTGCCTGCATGCCGTATGTATTGAGCTGCAGCCTCATGACTGGTTGGTGTGTCTTATAAACAGGCCAATGAGTGTGTGATGAACAGTGAAATGAAAAGATCACATCTGGGAGCTGCGCATCAATGCGGATTTGACAGAGCACAGGTTGATCCCAAACTGATCCCCAAGGCCACACAGGCAGGAGGAACAAATCGGACATAAATCAGAAAACGAATGAACAGAACCACCCACAACAGAGGCACAGAACCCAATTCCTAAATCCACATCCGGTTTGGTAATGCACTTAGAAAGTTAATAAAACTGACATTTCAATTATTCAAAAATCTTAAGAATAGTGTTCAGATAAATCTGAGCTGGGCAATAGTTGGCAATATTTTTTGACAGAACAACTGACTCCTGACTGGGTTCTGCTTCAAGGTCTGTTAATTTCAAACCAAATTAATCATCAACCATCTCAGCTGACCCTCATCAACCGATACAACCGAGTGTTTATTAAAAATGAAGCACCAAGAAACTGGGACAGAAAAATTGTGGGGGGGGGGAACACTTACCAAGAATAATTAACCCCACCCCCTCCAATTTTTAATTACCAGGCCTGACTAGTTTGTTCTTGTTGGATGCGTTCATCACATATCTCAGGGTAAGATAACCGTCTAACCGTATTCATGTTCAGAAGCTCCTGGAAACATCAAATGTTTCAGAAGGCTGTTTCGGCGACCTATCGAAGGGTGGCATGAAGTCTGTACATTAGTCTGCGTTCAAGCTTCCCAGATGACTTATTTTGTTTTATACAAACAAAATAAATCCGCATTATTGCAATATCCACAGTCGACACCTTTCATTTTAACACCCACAAACGGCATGGCTGAGAAATGCCGCGGATCGCCGTGGTTACGAGACGCGAATCGCCGGGAGTCTCGCTTAAGACACAACGCGGATCCTTTTCCCTTCCACCATGTCACCCACCCAAAGTGATTCAGGTTTCACTATACATACTAACACAACCACTGGACCACAAGAATTCCTCTTTCGTGTAACAGAATAAAACATAATATCAAACCCAAGGCCTGACTACTTGCCCATTCAACTTTATCCAACTATACTTTGACGAAAACCTTCTGCACCCCTCCCCTCCCCTCTGATACAGACTTGTGTCCTTTTCCCTTTACTGCTGCTTACCCTCCTAAAAATCAAGCAGCTGTAATCCCTTCAGGTCTGGCCTACTGGCTCCGCCTCCCTTCCGGCCCAGCATTTGCAGCCCGGTCACCAGTCTTGATTTCGGCAGTGGGCATTCACTGGGGTTTAAGGCTGCCACAGAGATTTCCTTTCGGGGAACTTGCGTGGTTCTCAGAATGGTCAGACTCCACAAGGAGCCCCACTGAAAATGACTCCGTACGAACGGAGGACTCCACCGTGTGCCATTTTAACAGCCTGTCCGGCGTGATTCGTAAAACGTCGAGAGCCGACACAGCTCAGAGAACAGCATCATTACCAGAACAGGAAGTGATGTCATGGAACGTTTTGCTGCACAGGCAGACAGACTGTAATCTGCAGGTAGAGCGCAAATAATAATTCTGCCAAAACTGCAATAACATCCAACTGAATCAGAAGTAAAAAGATCATGATTAAAAAAAAAAACAAAAAAAAAACTGCAAGACAGGACAAGTACATCTTTGAAAACAATGGCTATCCTGATCATAGTGCTGCAAGCAGACACGCTGCTCCATAACGCTCCATTTCTGCAGCCCCTGCACACTTGAACATGCTTTCGGAGACTATCTGACCATTTATGATCTCATCAGCCACAATGAAGGTGCCTCATGCAATTATTAGCAAGACTCGCACGGTCAAACCTGCCCCCCCCCCCCTTTGCTGGGTGTGTTTTTGCAATTCCTCCTCCAATTTATTCCTGTTGAAAAGTTAATGGGAGTGTGAAATATTTGATTACAGCCGGCCGTGTGATCAGACTACAAAAGAACAAAAGGTAGAACCAGAAGGTCACGGAGCGGCTCTGAAATGGTTGGGAAGAGTCTCAGCTGGGGGCAGGAGGGCAGCAGGCAAAGAATGGGCCAATTCACCCTAATTATGAGGCGTTACTCCTCTCGGTGTCAGCGAACTGCCCCACAGCCAAAACAGCCAGCGGTCTGCATACCAATTCGTGCTGGGAGACTGCCCTGCCGACTCCAATAGGCTTCAAAACGTCGCCGTAAACAATAGGCCAAACGAGAAACAGACCATCGCCCACAGCTCTCCAGAGGAGACATATGCGCTTGCAGCAGCTCTAAAACACTCTCCATGCTCGCTGCAGAAACGCTGTTCATTTACGCCGTAAACACATGAGTAACTCTACACTGGGAACTCCAGACTAATTGGAGCCTCAACTCGTTAGCCGGATGCACTTGTGACGTCTGTGCCAGTCGGCCAGCCACGTCACGCCCCCCCCCGCGCCCGGGACTCCCGAGTCGGACGCCTGGAGTGCCTGCCTGGTCCCAAGCCGAGAACAGAAAGGGGAACGAGGGAAAGAGGGAACCATAAACTACAGACAGAGAAGTGTTGCTTCTGGAAGCTTTACCAGCTTGTCACCCGTGCCTCGATAAGCCAGATGTCAGCTCTTCCTCTTCCTCCTTCCCGTGACACTAAGGCTACGATTCAGGCTTCTCTGCAACGGTCCCACCATGTTGCTCGTATTGCATTTGCGTCCAGAAGTCTGCCGGCTCCAGGGTGAAGCCACCTTACTTGCCAGGGCTCGTCTGGATCCACAATCACCCCACACCATCTTCAGTTAACGGCAACGTGAGGTCCTGCAGATTTTGTCGCATCACAGGGTCCGCGACCAAAATGAGGTTCAGTTTTACATGGTGTTCAGTTAAGCCGAGTGGCTCAAGGAGCCCTGAAGTGTTGGGTCAGCTGTTAGTTTGGCGAGAGTAAAGTTACGGCCATGGATAACCTAACTCTGCCGTTCCAGTAACCTGACCCAGACCTCCCCTGACCACAAGCTGCCAAGCCATGATGCCAAGCTTTTCCATCAAGGTGGCTGAATACGTAGGACTTCCTTCCAACCAACTCTGTTTCCTTTTCCCATCACGCCCGTCAGGACAAGCGGGGCATCTCCTTCCCGGCAGAAAGCGGAAGCCGCTCGCCTGCCATCACTGTGAACAGGCAGCAGGCCGTGAGCAAAGCAGTGAGACCGAGACATCCGACTGAACCTGGCAACGCTCACAAAACAAAAGAGGCGTCGTGACAAGGCCCAGAGGAGTCACTCTCCAAAAAGACGACACCCACGGATTCGCACAGCCGTGGCCAAGTGCATCGACACACCGGCACGGCAAAGCAGCAGAACGTCCTCCTTCCTGTGCTATCGGTCTGCGCGGAGGGCCACAAAGTCCATCCACCCGTGGGACTATTTGTTTAACAAATTAATTATTACTAGGAGGACTCTCCCCCATGCAGCGTCCAGCGGAGACGCCTGAATCTCTCCATCACTCCCCCAACCCCAACTCTGCCTCTGTGTAGATTATCTGAAGAGTCAAACTCTCTAACAAGATCACGTATCTAGAACCCCACCCCTCCGGTTCCTTCCCACAGAAATCTCAGCCTTGAATTGCATGCCAGTCCTGAAAAATTAATCACCCTGTGTGGGAACACTTTGA